AGCTTTCCTCTCTGGGATATGACACAGCTGGGTGCCAGGGAGAACAGGGATCCCGAGCCAGCACACCCTGGTCACTTGCAAGGTTGGAGATGCCCCAGCCTCCAAGGCCTAGAGAGACTCAATGCAGACAGAATTGCTGATGCAAGCTAAAATACAAAGGGGCTTCAAAACGTTTGTGGTAAACATCCCATTATCTTTTGATCCCATTTCTCCAGAGATTTTTGAAGGTCCCTAGTGGTTTCTACATAGCCTAGGGTGTAGCACAGATACTCCTTTTAAAATAACAGTGAGTCCTCCTGTCCTGGTAGAAAACTGAGAAGGACTGAGGTACATATAGCCTCCGAACCTGGTCTCCCATGCTGCTGCCTCTTCCATCCCCCTCCTAACCTGAGAGACGCAATAGACACGGCACCCCTTCCTCCTGACAGGGTCTCGTGAGCTTTGTCCAAAAGACGGCACTGAATGAACAGGGATATCGATGTCTACCTGAAGAACGAAGGCTTTGGACACAGTCTTTGTAAACTGCATCTGCTTGTCTCTCGTGCCCCTGATAAAATGTGCTGCTTATCACGTTACAAGAAAGATGCCATCTATTTGCTAGAGGGAGATCGCCACCCACTATCCCCCTCCAAAAAAAGTACATGGTTTTATTTCTGGATTCCTGTGGATTTCCAAGAATACCTAAAGAACAAGTCCCAAGTACCAAAGCATCTGGAAATGGGCTGTTGGTATCTCCCCCGGCCTCACATAAAGGCATTTTTTCATGAACAAATTTTTGAAGTCCCGCTGTCTACTCGTCGTATAGGCATAGTGTGTCGTGGTCAGATTTTAAGTACCTATGAGAGCCAAAAGCGATTTGCTTTCCTAAGAATAACTGTATTTGTCCAGTCCTCTGTAGTTTACAAAGCACTTTTACACACAGTGTATAATGGGGCCCTCCCAGCAGTCCTGGAAATAGACAGGATCAGCCAGACCTCCGTCTGGCAGTTAGAAAAATGTGTGAGGAAAGAAAAGTAGTGATTTGCTCTAAGTCATTCAGCTGGTAAGTGACAGATCTAGGGTTTTCAAATAGGTCCTCTGGCTCCAAAGTCAATATTCAAGCCAAGAAAATAAATACTTTACCACTGACTGCAAAAGCAGCTTTTTATCTGATTACTCTAAGGATTCTTTTTCCCTTAAACCTTTATGCCAGAAATTCCTAAATAAATCAGCAACTCCTCCAAAGGCTCTGTACTACAAACCTGTGTTTGTGAATATTTACCAGGTCAAACTGCCACACAGAGTGGGCAAAATGTATGTCTTAGGGCCTCCGCCCGGAGCTGAACATAGCCGCAGCTACACAGAAATCCCAGTAAACTCGGTAGTCTTAACAGGTACATTTTAGACAAGCAGCTTAAGAAAGGTTCTGTGTATTTCCTTGACTGCCCTTAAACAGACTGAGTTGAACGCTCTCCAGATTCAATACCAGAATTATTTCGGGAGCAGCAACGCTACAGCCAGGCGTCCTGGTGTGGTGCTGGAGGACCAGCATTGGACTGCTAACCACAAGGTTGATGGTTCAAACCCACCCGCCACTCCTTGGACACCCTACACAGGGTTGCTATGAGTCAGAACAACAGCTACAATGCTATAACCTGGCCCGAAAGGTGCAAAAACATAAAGATATGGACCCTGACTTCAAGCTGGGGGTGGGTTGGAGGTGAGGATACAGCAGGGGATGAGAGGTGTAAAAACTGACATCTAAGAAAGAGGCACGCCACTCATCTGTCAGTTGTGTTGTACTGTGTGGTGGCTTGCGTGTTGCTGTGATGCTGGTAGGTCTGCCACTGGTATTTCAAATACCAGCAGGCCAGGTTTCAGCAGAATTTCCAGACTCAAATAGACTAGGCAGAAAGGCCTGAAGACCTACGCCTAGGAATGAGTCAGTAAAAACGAATGGCTCATGAGTTGTTGAATGGAGAACTGATGATCTGCTCTGTGAACCTTCACTCAATTCACAATAAAACGTTTAACAGAATACTATCTGTGGGCACACACCGTACACAGGCATCAATCACTGGGGAAGATAATAATGTTTGGTGAAGTAGAGACCCTCAGGAAGACCCTCAAGGAGACGGACTGGCAACCACCACCGAGACGGACTTGAGTGTGCCAGCCACTGTACGATGTTGCCAAACAGGGTGACATCTTGCTCTGCTGAGCACGGGGCCATACCGAGTCAGTGCCAACTCCACAGAAGTTATCTATCAGGTTATCTATCAATCTATTGATTGAGCTGAGGTAGAGGAAGCACATGGTCCTCAAAGGCCACAGGCAAAATCTAAAAGCTACGTGGGCAGAGGGTAACAATCATGACAGAGTGAGGAGAGGCTCTTCTCTGAGTCTTTGATCCAAAACTTAGTGTCAGAGGGCAGAGCTGAAGACAAAGAGTCTCGGTCAAAAGCTAGACTGTGAAGAGAAGCAGGGAGACACCCTGTGGGGGACAGTGATGACAAGTGCAGGAGGGACACCACTGGACAAGAATAAGAGTACTATCCCAGAAGGAAGGAAATCAACAAAGAGAAAATGACCAACATGCATGCCCACACCTACATGCTTCCTACACTGAGCACTAGCATGCATCCTGGTTAACCCTGTCATCTGGTGGGTGAGGAACCTGGGGTCTGGAGAGTTACAGCAAACTATCCAAAGTCACACACAGTAAAGGCAGAGTTAGGTCAGAGCACTGGCCCCCCTGAGACTTAGCATGCCCCCACTGCACATCACCTACCTCACGTTGTTTACTTGAATTTCATTGCTTTCTACTGCCTTTGACAACTCAATTCTAATATAGTATAATGATTACTAAAATAAATTTTCATGATAATGGGGTTCACCTCACAATTATTTATGCTGAGGCAATATAATCTTTCATGAGGCTGCTGGGAAGGCCCCTGAGAGTTTGTGTTTCACTCTCTTCTCCAGTCGTTATCTTCTAAATAGAATCTAGATTAGCTGTCAGAACTTGCTGCTGTGTTTTATTATTTTATCATTATAAGTAATGGTCAAGGTGAATGATAACAGTGATAATATAAATCCACCCTTAAGGTAAATAATAACAACTGTAAGCTTAGCAACTAATAGAGTAATTAACTACTGAAAATATACATGCGGCGAGAAAGAAATGCTTTGGAAAGCTGCGTAATTCTACGCCAGTATAAAGAGTGGCAGTCTCACTGCTGACGAGAATACACTCTTCTATGTGATCTCTGGACTCCTGGTGTGGCGCTGTCGGATAAGGTCTGGACTGCTGATTGCAAGGTCAGAGGTTCAAACCCACCAACTGCTTCTCAGAATCCCTATGTTGTTTTTGTTACGTGCCGTTGAGTCAGTTCCAACTCACAGCGACCCTGTATAGGGTTTCTGAGGAGCGGCTGTTGACCTTGAACTGCCGACCTTGTGGTTCAAACCAGCCATGCAGTCTAGTGCAGTAAGGTCAGAATCGACATGAGAGCACTTACTAGCCACATCCTATTACCACAGAAGCTAAAAGTCCACTTTCTCAATACGAAAGCAGAAACCCCATATAAACTCTTCTAATAAAACACATGTTCAAGTAATAAGCATCCTCATTAAATTCTAACAAACCTCCAAATGGTTTGCTACTAACTGTTCAGATTCCTCAAGTAAACTCAAGGCATCATTTTGGAACGAAGGCAGGTTTCTTACATAGAGGTTGCAGCCCCTCCCCCCGATTTTTCTTTTGCTAATTTTAATAGAAAATATTTGTGTTTTCCATCTCTGGTGGGTTTCTGCTCAACACCAATTCTGGCTTCCATAGGTCTTACCAACGTGTTGACTGTATCTGTCTCATTTCATGATATCCACACTGAAAGTCAGTGTCAGCAATAGTCCAGAAGGAGACAATACCTTTAGGGAGGTACACACACCTTAGGGTCACCAGCCATTTGAGATCCAAAGGACAAAATTCAGAAGGACTAGGAAAGGAGGAGGAATGGAAAACAGGAAACATAGGGAGGAAGCGGGTGAACGATGTTACACTGAGGGGACCGCAATCTATGAAACACAATGTGTGTGAATTGATCTGCTCTGTAAACCTTCACACACTAAAAAGTGTTCAGTCAGTAGTCACAAAAGAATTAATATTATATGCTATTCCACTTAAATGAAAACACAAGTATCCAGAGACCAGAGTGGATTCGAAAGTTAACCTGGGATGGCTATGGGAGGGAGGCAGAAAGAAAAGAGGGTCAGTACTGAGGAGGTAATGACCTTTGTTAGGGGTGATGCTGGAATTTGGGACTGGGTTAAGGACGGCAGCTATGCAACATAATGAACACAAGTAACATCACTGAAGTGTACAAGTGAAGACTTGAAATATCAGATGTTTAGCTACATGTATACGTATCATAATCAAAATAGAATAAATCTCCCAAATCAATAAGTAAGTAAAAGAAATGGTAACCAGATAGCTCCACAGCTGGGAAACTGGCTTGGAACCTACGCTTTAACTTACGGCTAATTTCTCACAGGAAGCCTCAAAAGCACTCAAGCTTGACGGCCCAACGGATTACAGGGTAGTGCTCAAGAAATAGGGTGGAGAGCCCCTGTTGTTAAGTAGATGCTCTCAGCTGGCCCTCCGCAAACACCTGTGTCACAAATGACCACATCCCACTAACCCAGAGCATCAGTCCTAGACCAACTCTGGAAGAGGTTTCCATTGGCCTTCGTCTGTTGAGAGAACAGCATGTTAGGAACTTATCAAAGTGCGTTCAAACACTGTCCACTCATGTTTTACTAGATTACAATACTCCACAGAGAATTAGGAAGTGGCTGAATGTGTCCTAAGAACTTGGCACTTGCAGTAAAGCTTCCCTTCGCAGTAAGTGTCATTTCTGATCAGGACTTCCGGCTGTACTTGAATCTGGGGGGAGGACGTTCACCATGTCATGCTTCATGAGTCATGAGGCCTCTGCGGAGCAGCAGGATGAGGACAGAAAGGACACACTGGATCTGAACATATGATCACCGGGAGGGTTTGAGGTGATACAGCCACTGGGCTGACACATGCCCCTACATGTTCACAACTGTCAGAAGCATCTTATTCCCGAGTTGTCAAGTGAATGGTTCATCAGCTGCTGCCTGTGTGTTAACTTTACACTTCAGGAAACTGCACTGATACTTAACTCTCTCAAGACCAATGACCACAACCATGAAACCGGGTGACCACGAAAAAGGAAAGGATGGTGAGGAGGCCGGTCATCATAAATGGGCAGCCCATGCTCTGTAGGGGCATGTTACAGAGAGCTAAGTGTCCAAACCATTGCTCAGAAAGATGGAGGTGGGGGACTTGAAAACAGGGGACAACGTAAGTTCAGAAAATGTGTTAACATAAATAGATTCTTTTCCCCGGCCCATCCTCCAGAGAGCGGCAACAGGCATCTGGATTCGTCCTTCTACTCCATCTGCCCCCAGACACTGAATGGAACTTGTCAGGGAGGCTGGACCACTACTAGATCACTGTTGTCACTGTTAAGTGCTGTTGATCCTGTATAGGGTTTCCGAGGAGTGGCTGGTAAGTTTGAGCCACTGATCTTGCAGTTCAAAACAACCTTGCAGTCCAGCGCATTAACCCACAGCACAATATCACATCATTAAGATTACTTAAAGCTCTGCATTCTGGGCATCCACTTTTCACTCCTAACAACCTCCCATAAACCCTAGGACAGATGCTGAAAGAAGTAAAGAGAGGCCCACCAAATCCTTCAAAACTAAAACACCCCTCAATCCCAGGCCCACAAGCGGGCTCTATGGTTTCTATGCTTAACCTTGAACAGTTCACACAAATCTGAATCCACCAAATAAAAATCTTCCCCAGGATTTCTAATGTCACCTAGATTTCAAGGCTGTAATGCAAAGAGTCAGAAGCATTTCACTTACCATGACTTGGGTTCCCCGAAGTGGAGATAGTTGATGCTGTAGAGGTCCATGTCCTCGGTGTGCCAGGCAAAAGTAGTTTTCCACATGCCAAAGTAGAGGTAAGGGGTATTCACACCCTCGATTGAAATGCCACAATCCTCCTCAACCACATCTAAGACCGTATTTAGGCGAGATATGTTCCACTCATTCACACCCTAGAGCCAGGAGAAAGAGGGAGAGAGAGAGAGAACATGAAATGTTAATAAACTAATAAAGACAATACTAATTAATGAAACCATCATATGCCAAATTAATCTATGAAATATTGTAATTCATCGAGAAGTGAAAAATAAGGCAAGCGTAATTCAGAGCCATGTATACAAAGGCGGTTTCGGAGAGTTTATTGGAAAATCTCATTACCTTTTAATTCCAGTTTTCCATAAACTTTGTGAAGCCCACTCATGTACCTGTTACTATTCATCTGAAATTACTACCAGAACACAGTGTTGCTGTGTGCTGCTGAGTCAGTTCCAACTCATAACGTTTCTGAGGAGCAGCTATTGGGTTTGAACCTGCAAACTTACAGTCAGCAGTCCAGTGCTTATTCTACATTACCACACCAAAACTCCCCAGAAAGCAGCTGTTGTTCTTGTTGTTAAGTACCATCAAGTCTGTTCTGACTCATAGTGACCCTCTTTAGGGTTTCCGAGGAGCAGCTGGTAGGTTTGAACTGCCGATCTTGCAGTTCAAACCGACCCTGTGGTCAAGCGCTTATCCTAAAGCACCACACCTGGATACTTCTTCCTCACAGTTCTTTCTCTAAATTATAACTGTTATCATATGACTGACGTGTGTAAAATCCATGATTTACAAGAATGGGTCAAAATATCCACAGCTGAACCATTGAGCATGCACGTGAAATGATTCTGTTGAGCAGATGAGGGACTGTGGATGGTGTGGCAAGTCATTTTACAGATAAGCCCCGGCTCTGCCTATGAACTAATCCACGACAGACTTAAGTTTCAAAAAGTTTGTGCAAGACAGGTACTGAAATGACTCACGGACGAGCACAAACAGAAGCATTTGGATGTCTGCAAACAAAATTTGGACTAAGACTCCAAGGACGCTTAAAGTTTCTTATAAAAAATCATTACTAGTAATGAGACATGGATTCATCACTATGAGCCTGAGAGTAAACGGCAGATTGTGGAACGGAAACATTCTCAGTCACCAACCAAGAAAAAGTTCAAAAATTAACCATCATGCCCAGTAAAGGAGGCTTCCTAAGGAGCCTTTGCATTACATAAGACCATAGGTGGAATCCTGAACCCCATCCAGAATCTTCTGAGGTGGGAAATTTCCACTTGAAAGACAAGCAGACCAGCCTGGAGCGGCTAGAAGAATAGAAGATACTTCTTGAAAGAAAGCCCGACAGGAAACATCAAAAACAATAATGGCAGTCCAACTGACTACTATAAGAACAAACAAGCTGTTTACCCAGAAGCCATCAGGCAAGTGGTTGCGTCCCCTCAGGGAAAACTCCCTTCCAAGACTAAGACTCAAGGGGAATACATGAGCAGCCATGTGGTCTTGCTGGTGACTACGTTGGTCACCAATAAGGGAAAAACAGCAATGAATTGTGAGCTAAGTCCAACCACATTCAATAGACTTCTGATTGAGACCTGGTCAGCCAGCAGTATGGCAAGACTTCTGGGGACTCCTGGGCCCAGAGACAATTACATGGCCACAGAAGACTAGAGCAGAGAGTGAAGCGTCCAGCTGATATAAAGTGAGGGGAGATGCACAAGAACACCCATACTTGCAGATAGTACCCACTTGACCTGGCTTTGATGGCTGGATGATCAGAACTCGACTAGAAGAAGAAAGAAGAGGAAGCAAAAAAGAGTAATTTGCTACAATTGGATGAACTTGACCTGTACTTATAGATGTAGTAGCTCAAAAGAGGGAACAAATCTTTATGGCGAGGATCACTCCCACCCTCTTGGTCCACAGGGTAGACAGGGATAGGCAACTTGGACACTGGCTACCCAAAATGGGGGGCTACAAAGGCAAGAAGTGACTGGCTTACAAGCTTTCAAGAGGGAGCCTAAATCCAGAGGGTGCGGAGGAAGGTAGAATCTCCATTGAGTGGTTTCTACTCTTCCTGGATAGGGCTGATGAAAGGAGATGGGGATAGGACTCTTGTGGTACAACAGTGAATGAGTGCTATCAGACTGACTATGAGGGCTGAAAATGTAAAGGTAGACATTTTGTAACAAAAGGAGAGGAGCGGTTGACTTTGTAGTCCAGGAGGGGAGGTCCCTGGGAACATTAAGGGAGAGGAGCGGAGTAGGAACCCTACCTAGAGAAGCACTGATGTCAGAGATGGAGGCAGAGAAGATGACATGATGAGATGGAGTGGCTGGGGACTCTGGACTCAGGGAGGGAGAGGGGCTGTGTGCTGGCGGCCAGGGGGCAGACTTGCAGGATGCATGCACACTTTGGTTGTTTGATGACGCATGGAGGGGATTGTAATCATTGCAATGAAACAAAATATGATAGGATGAATGTAAAGCTAATGTCCTCCTCCCATGTAAATTATCACATAATTCAACATAAAAACCTTAAAAAATAATAAAGAAATGAAAAATCATCCATCAGCTGGAAAATTGATATTTACTGGGATTCTCAAAGGCCAGTATTGGAACACTGTTAGGAAATGGTTCAACTATCAACAGTATTCATTACAATGAGATGCTCACTGAAGAGCTGAAGCCTAAACTTCAGATTAAATGCAGAGGACTGCTATCCAAGGGCATTGTGATCTTGTGTGATAATGCACATCCATTACACCGCTGCCCACACTGTTGACATTTTGTCAAAACTTTATTTTGAGGTGCTAAAGCCTCCTCCCTATAGTCTTGATCCTTCTCTACTGGACTTTCAACTGTTTGGTTCCCTGAAAGCATCCTTCCAAGGGTCAAGATTCACCACTGATGAAGACGTAAAGACAGCAGTACATTCGTGGTTCACAGCTCAGCCTAAAATATTTTTTAATAAGGGAATATGAAAGCTTGTTGACAGATGGACACAGTTTATTGAAAAGCAAGGGGATGATGTCGAAAAGTGACGTAGTTGACTTTTCTAAAAGTTGATGCAAATAAATTCTACAGCCAGAGTGCAGATAATTTTTTACTCTGCCTCAGCTATATCAGATATCAGGTATATGTGTGTGAAAACAGAGGGAAATCATAATGCCTTTACAGCCAGTTCAACCTCCTCCTGATGCTATTCAAGAAGGGCATTCAGCCCATTTCCGCCTGCCAACAAGGTCATTTCGATAATTACACCAATACCTGACTGAAAACTCGTTCTAGTATTTCCCATATACAATAAAAGCTGTTAGGATCGTTGTGTTTCGTTTCTGAGTCATTTAAATGATTCCCTAATCAGTGTGCTAATCTCACTTCCTCCCGTTTTGGAGCTAGGAAAATTATTGAAGGAGCAGTTCATGAAGCTCTGCCTCAGGTAATATTTAATTACAAATGCCAGGAGAGAGCATTTCATTCCCAAATTCCCTCCACTTGCCACTCCATCCACAGCGGAAACCCCCGGCTGTAAGGAGAACTGGTTAGGAAGTGGGCAAAGAAAGGATCCAAGCAGAGAAGACCCTAAGCTCCAGTTTCTGAAAGTCCTCATCAAAGCTCAATCCAATTCGGTAAAATCTTTTCTCTCTATTTATAGTGCTGCTGTTTCTAGTCCAATCAGACTTCAGTCCAATCAGTCTAATAATAGAGTCCTATTTAAAAGTCATTACTGAAGCAATGAATCTGAAGTAATAAGTGAGCACCATATTAAAGGGACCATTTTTAAACTGAATGAGCTTGCGGATTTAGACACAGACAATTCCTCTGAAGTTCCTACATCTGGAAAAGTCTAGGTTTTATTTCTGACCTACACTATCTTTCTAAAGTCACACTGTATGAATTGCGGAACATTCCCAGAGCTGAGAATGCATGCGTAAGAGCAAAAAGGTAAGGAACTAAAAGCTGCTATTGCTGTGTGCTGTTGAGTCAATTCCGACCAGGAGCAAACCTACATATCATAGTAAACTTTCCCATAGGGTTTCCATGGCTGAAATATAAGCACTGAACTGCTAATCGTAAGGTCGGTGGTTCAAACCCACCAGCCTCTCCTTGCTATGAGTGGGAACCAACTTGACAGCACTTAACAATAGAAATTTTTACAAGAGCAGATCTCCAGGTTTTTTCACCCTCGGAGATGCCAGTTGGTTTGAACTACCAATCTTTCAGTTAGCAGCCAAGCCATACACCTCATGTTGAGTCAGGGCCTTTAGAACAAAGACAGCGAAGACGTCATGCTCCCACTTCACTTCTTTTTCTAAAATAAAAATCAGACCATTTCAGTTACAGAGGTTGGGAAAATATTTAGGATGACAAAAACCCCTTCTCCTCCTATTGCCTCTATCTCCACAATGACTAAGTCCTCCAAGGGCCAGCTCTGCGTGGACGCTAGAGGGCACGGAAGCACAAGGTTTCTGTCACACGTTTAGGTGAACTGCAAACCCAGTTTCAGGAGAAAGTTGTGGTGACCCACTTCCAAACAATCAGCCATTGACAACTCGATGGAACACAGTTCTACTCTGACACACATAAGGCTGTCGTCAGCTAGGATGCAGCTGGTTTCATGCCTAATTTGTCATTTACTTGGGGTGTCATGCCATAGATTCAAGGTCCTGCTGTGGCACCATAGGATCAGCACTGGACTGCTAATTGCCAGGTTGGCGGTTCAAACTAGCTGCTCCTCAGAAACCCTATACAAGGTGGTTATGAGTCTAAACCAATTCAAGAGCAATTAACAACAACCATACATACGGCGTCCTGGTGTGGTGCTGTAGGATAAACACTTAACTGTTAGCCACAAGGAAGGTAGTTCAAACCCACCAGGAGCTCTTTGGAAACCCTGTACAGGTCACTATGAACCAACTTGACGGCACTTAACAACAGCAACAATAAATACATAACTTCATTATACTACACGCACACATGCACCTCACATACTGAAAATAAATTTGTTATTGTTCTCGTTAAATGCCACCGAGTCGATTCCAACCCCTAGCGACTCTGTATAGGGTTTCCAAAGAGCAGCTGGTGAGTTTGAACCACCAACTTTGCAGTTCAAACAACTGTGCAGT